GGAGCGGGAAGGGGAGGGAGGGAGCATCGGTGCATAGTTTGCTCCCTTGATGGCCAGCGCCGCGAGGAGCCCCCAGACGGGCGCCAGCGCGTCCGGAACTTCCGCCGCGGCCGCCGGCGCGGCCACGGCGCCCCGCCCGGCCTGCGCGCGCGGGACGCGGGCCGCGTCGGCGGCGGGCTCCTGCGCCGCCAGCGTGCCCCACGGGCCGTCGCCCTGCAGGGGCAGCCAGGCGGGGTCCTCGATGGCCTGGGCGCCGAAGGCCTCGGGGCGCGCTCGCGCTGTCGCCGTCGGCCGTCGGCCGCCGCCGCCGCCGCCGCCGCCGTCGTCGTCCGAGTCGTCGTCGTCGCCGACGCCGCCCGAAGGCCTTGAGGCGCGCCGCGACGGAGGGCGTCGGCACCCACGCCGCGGGGGTGCCGCGGAGCAGCGGCGCGCTGCTGGCCCGGAGCAGGGCGGCCGCGCCCAGCGCGGCCGCCGCTGCCGGGCCCGCGGCGCGGGCGGCGGCTCGGCGCGGCCACCCGCGCGCCCTGGCCATCGCGCCGCACCCTGCCGTCGCGGGTTGCGCACCCTCCCCCCGCCCGCCTCCTTCCACGAGAACGGCGCCCGAGCGCCGTGCCATCCGTGTTTGCGCTCCCAGCAGGCCCCGCTCCAACGCCGCACGGTGCACAGTCCTTCTGCCCCTGGGGGCCGAGGAGCTACGCACCGCACCGTTCCTGGGTCGAGGACCGACGATGCTCCGGGAGAGACCAGCGCGCGTCCGCGCATCCTCGCGGCAACTCCACCGCGGGCGCTTGCCTCGGGGGCCCGTGTCGGCCATCGCGGAGATATCAGCTCCCTGCGTGCTGCTTTGCAGCGGACCAGCCTGCTGCAGCTCGAGTATTAATAATCCCACCTGGCGTCGTCCAATTCCAGCTCGTTTCCTCCCCACTCTCCCTCGCCCCACTCGCGCCGCCTCCACCCCGGCACCCGCTCCTTCGCTCCGTGGCCGCGGGCTTGGACGGACACACCTTTCCTCGGATCGTGGATCTCCCTTGGCTTGCAGCTGGCCCTCGCCTCTCCCCTGTCCCCTGCGGCCGATCTCCATCCCGTCTCCTGTGTCCTCCTCCGACTCCCGTTTGACATGAGGCGAACTTGGGCTGACTGGGGTCGTAGTGTCAGGATAGGGAAAAACAAAAACAACAGCAACAAAAAAACGGCAGGATGCGAATACATTGGAGGCCAGTCCACAAGAAACCCTCTACCAGAAACCCAACCCTGAGATCCCAGGACGTCCATTGACTTTTGGTGTGGGCACGCCACGCTTTCCACCGCAAAGCCATCGAAAGCCAAGAAATCCAGGGCACCCTGGAGGCAAGCAGGGTGTTTCTTGACATGGGTCTCCACTGTACACCGACTCGAGCACGGTGGCCGCAGAGTATGATGCGAGCAGGTGTGGTAAGCACAGGGGCAACAAAATGGGGAAAGACGAGGAGCCCGCGGGGGCGCAGAGGAACCGCGCAGACGGCCTGTCTTCTCCTCCTCCGCCTCCTCCTCTGCCCCCTCCTCCTCCTCCTCCTCCTCCTCCTCCTCCTCCTCCGCCTCCTCCTCTGCCCCCTCCGCACGATGTGTCATCTTCCTCATCCTCATCCTCCTCGTCACTGGCATCATCGCTGCAACGGTAGCTAGGAGCTGAGAGGTACGAAGGTATGGACAGAATCAGACTCTTTCTGCCTGGTTTGGTGCAGTGTATCACTACGTTCCCTGGGTCGAAAGAGATCGAAACTGTTCCTTACCAGCGTGCGGTCTAGTAAAGGGGGGCCCTGTCAATCCAAACCAGTCAAGGAGCAGACCTAGGGTGAGCAAGGGGAAGCCAGGCAACTTACATCACCCTCGAAAACATATGCAACAGAGGTGAGGGCGTCTATCCCTAGCTTAGGTCTTAGGGTATTTGAGATATTTTTTTTCCAGCGCTATTTTGGAGAAGGGGGAGGAAGAGGCGAGAGGGAGACAACGCACACGCCAGCTTGCTGTCCATCTCGCATATCGTGCCGGGGAGTCCGGGGGCCACGCCACCCTCAGTCGCAAACAGCACAACAAGACGTGATGAGGGTCAGGTCCGCTTCCCCTCAAGGGGGCTATCACCGCACCCATCGAAAGCCGCAGCGAATGGCGCTGAAACTCCATAGCTGTAGATATCGAAGGTGGCCGGCCGGGTAAACGTCACCACATTCAGGGAGGAGGAGGAGGAGGAGGAGGAGGAGGAGGAAGGAGGGAGAGGAGGAGGGAGAGCAGCCAGCTAGCCAATGATACGAACTTGCCGTGCAGCGTATCTTCCCCTGGCCGGCCGAGGCGTTGTGCAGCAGTCCCCTTACTGAATGGCCTAGTCGGCCGAACCAGCAAATCCAACACAACCTAAGACAAGAGAGGAGACAAGAGAGGAGAACAGGACGACAAGAAGGAGAAGAGGGGCGGGACAGGAACATGATACGAATAGGGCCCGAATTCGTATCATCTCGAAGCTTGGCACCGCGCTCTTGGCGGGCATGGCGAAAGCCAGAAACTACTTAAGCGAAAATGCATCGGTACGAACGGCAACCAGAAGGGGAGGAGGGGGAAGGGAGGCAGATCAACAGCGTCGAGCACTGCGCCTCCAACACGAACCGCGCTCGGTCCAGCCGGTCTGGACGATGACAGGTCGTCCGCTCCTGGCTCCAGCATTCGGGGAAGAGCGAGGACGAGACCGGCAGAGGACGCGGAGAGCCGGCTCACCGCGAGCCAGCGGTGAGCCGGCGCTCCGCCTCCGGGAGGCGAGGGCGGGAGGAAAGAGACGAGGGGGAAGGGCAGCTCGCGTCGGCTGCTGGGTGCAACGCGGCCAGGACAGAGAGGACACGATAGCTTGCACCACCAAGCGTGGAGTCGCGCCCTCCGCGGTCCAGATTTGCAACTCCATGCGCAATAATTCAGGGGGGGGCGAGGGCGAGACAGGAAAAGGGAGGAAAGAAGGACGAGGGAGGAGGAGAGGAAAGACTGCAGAAACGCTAAATCGCGCCCCCGTGAGGGCGGCGTCGGGCAAGCCGCAGAAGGCCGTCCATCTGCGCGTGCCCCCTTGCGCTCTCTCTCAAAAACGAAACTAGCGCTTCGGGGGCGTTGCGCCGCAGGAGCGATCCAGTCCGCACCGCGGCTTGCGCCCTGTACGCCGCGTACACTGTGAGGGCTCGAAGGAGAGTGCACTGCTCGGCGCTTCTCTCGACCCCCGCCACGCCTTGCGAAGGCAGAAAATTAAGAAAGCACCCAAGCTTGCTGTCCCTGCCCGCAGGGGTCTCCAACCCCGCGTGCTTTCGGCAAAACGCGTGGTAGACTTCGCACTGGGCGTAATGCTCTATACAATCAGCTCCGCCGCCACAATGGAGGGCACAAGGCGCGCTCCCTTGGAAGCGCCGCGCCGTGCACCACCCGTTCATGGCAGTGCGGAGGAAGGCCGCGGCAACGCGAGGCGGGCCGCGGGCGCTGAGCAGCCGCCCCACGCTCACCAGCTGCACGGGGCGGTCCCGGGGCTGGGATCGCAGCGGCCACCGGTCCAGCCTCCTGCGAGCATGCACCATTGCGGCGCCAGGAGCAGGCCGCAGGATCTGCGTCGCCTGCCGCTGCCATGTCCTCTTCGTCTGGAGGTCGTCGGGGTCGACACCGAGCAGGAACGGGGGGCGTCCCGCCGCCCGCTCGGCCGCGGCGACCTCGTCCGCCGCCGCTGTGAGCCGGCATAGGGAGGAGCTTCGGATCCACGCCACCGTGGCCAGGCTGACGTCGTTTGCCTCGTGCAATTTCTCCAGGAGCCGCCGGGCCCGCGCCCGAGCGCGAAGGCCACCGTCCTGGTGGTTCTCGAACACGAACACCCGGGCAGCCGCCGCCGAGGCGCTGGCGGCGAGCGAGGCGAACTCGGTCGCCAGGCCGTATTCCGTGAGGGCTTGGAGGACATTCGACGGCATCCAGCCCGCGGGCCCAGGCACCAGTCGCTGGAGGGCTCTCTCCTCCTGGGCGCGCGCCTCCGCGGGCACCCATTCCAGCTGCGCGACGAAAAGGAGCACGCTCAAGGCGTAGCACCGGTATGCGTCCATGGTGACCCTGAGCCCCGCCCCGAGAGAGCGCCAGAGCTCCACGCGCTCCGAGAATTTCCTCAGGGGCGCCTCCCACGAGAGAGCCGCACGCCCAGGGCCCACCATGAAGCCGAGGTACCGGGCCTGCCGCGCCAAGCCAAGCTGCCCCCAGGCTGGCGCCCGCTCCGCGATGGCCACGCGAAGCTGCACGAGGTCCTGCGCACCCACGGGCACCACCACCGTCTTCTCGATGTTCAGCTTCAAGCCTGAGCAGCTTGCAAACTCGTCGAAGATGCTTGCCAGAATCGCGACCGACTGCAGACCGTCGTAAAGGAAGATTGCTGTGTCGTCCGCATAAGCCCGGACAAGGGCATGACAGTGGCGGCCAATGCGCACCAGCAGGAGGTCCGAACAAGCCGCCAGCAGGAGGGGGGACAAAGGGCAGCCCTGTCGTACCCCACGCGTCGCCGTGAAGCCCTCGTACCGCGCCCCTCCGAGTGCGATCCTGCAAACGTTGTCGGTGTAAAGCGCGCGGAGGTAACGGAGCAGCCAGTCTGGCCACCCCGCTTGCTCGAAGAGCTGCATCATGAACCCGTGCTCCACCGAGGGGAACGCGGCTTCGAAGTCCATGAAGCATGCGAGGGGCTCCTGCGGCGAGAGGGCGCCCTCGCACATGGCTTCCTCGAAGTCCACCACATTCGCCAGCATCGACCGACCCTTCAGAAACCCGCGTTGGTCCCGCGAGATTCTCGGCGCCAGTGCTGGTTCCAGCATAAGGCGCACCGCGCTCGCGATGATCCGGTTGTCGGTGTTAGCGACGTTCAAAGGCCGCGTGCCAGCTGGGCGGAAGACTGCCACGCCCTCCTCCGTGTGTTGCGCCGCCTTCTTGGGGAGCAGGAAAAGCAAGCTCTCGTTGAACTTCATTCCCAAGGCCTCCATCTCGCTCGTGGCGCCCGCCGCCGTGAGCCCCTGGAACGCCCCGTACAAGAGGTCGACAGCGGTGTCGCCGAAGGATCGCCATACTGAAAAAGGAATGCCATCTGGCCCAGGCGAAGTGTTTCCCGTGATCCGGAGGGCTCGGCGCATGTGCCGTCGCGTCAGGCGGAGGTCGTCGGGCAGCGCGAGAAAACCGCACCCTGGCGGTCTGGCCCGCTGGTCCTCCTCCAGCCATTCCCGCAGCAGCTGGGAGTCGTGCCCCTTGCGCTGAAAGACCCGCTGCCAGTGGCTCCGGAGCTCCCCCACCATGTCGTCAGCGTTAGTCAACACGTTGCCCCTGTCGTCGGCGACGGCCCCGATGCCCACCGTGCGGCCCGGAGCGAGCCGATGAAGCAGCCGAGCCCCGCGCTTCCGGGTGCGGAGCGCGCGGTCGAGGGAGGACTCGTCCAGCCTGGTCCTCTCCTCCTCGCTGACAGTGGCCGTCGCGAGCTCGTCCAAAGCGTGGTCCCTCGCCAGCTCCGCCGCGTGCTGTCGGAGCTCGCGAAGTCGCACCGTCAAGTTGCCCGAGAAATCGCACGGGTTCGGGACCTTCTCCCGGAGGGCCGGGTAGCGAACGAGGCACTTCGAGACCTCCCCGGGCAGACCGCACTCCATGGAGCGGATGAGCTTCAGCACGATCCCCAGCCGGTCTTCCTTGGATTCGGCTGCGGGGAGCGCAGCGTGGTCCGCAGCGAGGCGGCGCGCGACAGCACGGATCGCCGCCTTGAACAGCATCAGATGCTGCAGTGGCGAGTCCGAGGAGGCGGCGGCGAGCTGCTCCGCGTACTCCAGAAACACGCGCCGCCGAAAGTCAGGGTGCTGGAAGGCATAGTCGGGGATGCGCTGTTCGGCTGGGTCGAGGCGCTGCGGGATGGAGCGGGAGGCCAGCACAGGCCTGTGGGCAGACAAATGTGGTTTCCACTCCAGCGCCACGGAGCGGAAGCATCGGTCCAGCTGGTCGACCATGTCGTGGTTCATGTAGATCCTGTCCAGCCTGGCCCTCGACCCCGCCGACGCGTGCGTGGGCTCGGG